CAGATTGTTGGAATACATTATAGCAAAATTCTGTTGTCTACAGATTGTCAGAATACATTAGTAGAAAATTCTATTGTCTACAGATTGTTAGAATACATTATAGCAAAATTCTATTGTCTACAGATTGTTAGAATGCATTAGTAGAAAATTCTATTGTCTACAGATTATCAGAATACATTAGTAGAAAATTTGTTGTCTACAGATTGTTAGAATGCATTAGTAGAAAATTCTATTGTCTACAGATTATTCGAATATATTCGAAATATCTGAAATAAGAGGTACTTAAAATACGTTTTATTAAACGGTATCTGACTCGACCGGAGATAATTACGTTACTTTGCCAAATTCGGAAAAGTATAAATAAATTACAATGATGTGTAGGACACGAATAGCTGCACAGTTTGGCAGGTTTGGGTTATGGTCTTCAGTCAGTTCAAGCCAAACCAGTAAGAAGCTCTCCTTTCACTATCGTCCTTCCCACACTCGTCTTTAAATAACTAGGGCCCTTTTCTGTGGATGCTATTTTTAGCTTTGAGTGTATATTTACATCGTCATATTTGTCAGCGATAAACCTTCGTTGGCCTCTTTTTTCGGTCATGATCCCTCCAACACCTGTTGTACTAGTCATATTACGATCTTACATTTGCAGGTCACGTACGAAACTGACGCTCATCACAATTGTACATGTTAGCAAACTTGCCCCCCCCCCCACCAACACTAAAGCTAACCAAATTTCGCAAATATTTAGTGCTTATTTTGTGCCCCAAGTTCCAGAATTTTTGCTGCTCTGCAACTTGAATTGTGGGAGCTAACTTCACTTGAGCCCCCCTCCCCCTGAGTTATCCATATAAAACTTGACACGTATATATAGTGCTGATGTTGTGCTATTTTGTGTCGCAAATTCCAGAATTTGTGGTGCACTATAAATGGAGTGAGTTATGGAGCTAGTTTTGTGGGTGTGGCTAACTTCACTCCAGCTCCCTTCCCCGACTCTGATCCATATAAAACTTGGCGCATATACAGTGCTGATTTTGTGTTAATTTGTGAAGCAAGTTCCAAAATATGTGCTGAGATGCAACTACATTTATGAGACAGTCTGTGTGTGGGCAGGAAGGGGGGGGGGGTAACTTCACGACAAAATGTCCGTTATGCCAATACTTCATTAGGAAAAAATGTCAACAAATTTCTTGTAATTATCAGAGATAAAATCGGCTATTCTTGCTCAAAGACAATATCTTTGAGCGTTTGGAGAAAATCCACCAGATAAGAATTCTATTAAGTGTACTTGCGGAGTGCAAACTTCCAGGGTTAACGTTGGAAAGCTTCCTTTACATGATTAACATATTCAACAAGAGTCTGCTAGTTCCATTTTTGTACACCATATTTCCTGATTCTTGAAGCTCTCGGTACCACAATCTTTCATTATTTTGCAAAACGTTACCAAGAATTGTTGGTTGGTTGTTTTTTTTTTCAAAAGTTACCTAACTTGCTCATTTTCGATACGAATGTCGTACGTATTAAGATATTTACCATTTATTATTATAAAACTATATTCTTCTTCATAGTGCTACGTATTATATTTTTATATCTTCACTCATTTTTCGCCGTTTCGTTTCGCGTGTCTCTAAACTTATTAAACTAACGTTCAATCAAAAATGAATTGAATTTCTATCGTTATCTGAAGTAGGCCTAGTGCCGAAATTTTGCAAGATAAATTCAAATAGTGACAGTACAAGCAACGATTTTATTTGTTAAACTTTAAATAAAACTTTATATAAAAATGTACAAGGTTATACATATAGGTGTATTTAACACTGAGGTAAAAGATACACAGTAGAAAAATAGGAAATAAAGATAAAATAAATCAAGTATAGTTTTTACGACTAAAACGTCAGTTTGAAGCAAATGTCCGTTAAGCCTATTGACAAATATAACAAAGATATTCCCATACTTTACACCAGCATCCATCACTTAGAAGGCCTGACTTGTCATACAGAGTAAACATACACATGAGGATTTAGGTTACAGTTTACTATCCCTGTAATTGGTTTTTGTGTCAAATAAAACAATTCCAATGAGTTGTTATTTCCTTTACACAAACTCAATAATGACCAAAAGAACTGATGCACTCCTCAAATGGCGGGGAAAATCAAACAATTTAATTATTTAGGTGCAACGTAAAGGTGTGTACATTCTTTTTGTGCGCTACTTTCATTTGTTGCTACTTTAAATCAAAGATCTCGAGAAAGAAATGCCAGCATATTTTCTGGATATCATATTATGTTTTGTACAACATCTCCAGAACAAAGTCTAGAACCATGTGTTGTTGCATCTTGAATTAAATCCCGAAGTTGTGATATTATTTACTCCTACATAACTGAGGAGTCGATGGGAACTTTTACTACATTAATTAATCTTTTTGCTTATGGACATTGTGTGGAGGAACATGTAATTTATTTATAGCTTACGTCTTTCTATAATAAATTGTTCACTAGTCCACCGAAACCCATTTGACACAAAGTCCTCTTATTAGTTTCATTTAATCAGGCTAATAACACCAATGATCTGAACAATAACATCAAATGCACACGTGTTCTTATGTAAAGGTAAAGTCAAATGCTTCCTCACATTCAAATATGCAAAATTTTAATTTTTCAAAACTCCCAATTTCGGTATCAATAATTTTTCATACCCCTTAGAAAATAAAACATTGTCAATATGATCCATATCTAAGTGGGATTTTCTTTTCGTATTGCCAATCCACTCTACTGCTCATGAATATTTTACAGCAGTTTTCTGTTCTGTAGTTTCACATCTCAAGCAAAAACGTTTTCTTCTGTATCCTCCATTACACTTAGAAAACAGATGGACACCAATGTTGTAAAGTGAACACCATCAAGAAGAGTTCCAACTGCACGTGAAGGTCATGGTTTAACAGAATCTGAAGTAACTGTACTCACTGAAGTTTGAAGAGGAGTTTAGTAACTTTGCTCGTCCGATTGAATGGAAATATCTATTGCATCGTGAGATTCTTTTCCTTCAGCATTAGAAGCAAGTTTTTCGGTTAGGGTGATAACTTTACCGCCTAATTCTTGATAAAAATGCAAAGTTGGAACTCGCAGAAGCTCGTCGAAATTCTAAATTGTTTGACAGATGAGAATACGTGAGTCAAAATTATATTTTCCTTGCAAACATCGCATGAATCGAAAATTCGTTGGGTATCCTTTTCTGAACATAAGCTGCCTTTAAAAACTAGTTTTTATTTCATTACTATATCATTTTGTGTTTCTTTCTTAAACTTAAAGACAATACTTTTGTTGTATTTGTATTTATTTCTATCCAGTTTTTATGTTAGTTCACCACATTACACATAGGGATAATAGAAAAATGAAAGGACTGGAAAGAATCACCACTGGATTCAAGAACAGTTATGCCTCTGGAAGAAACCGAATCCTATTGGTGGTGCAGTCGCACATATATATATATATAGGAAATATATTGTATATGAAGAAACACTTTATATGTCTCTGAACATAGGTGTAACCAAAAGACAAAAAATTAAAAGGAAAGAAGAGAAACACGTCAATCTTAATTTTAAAACCACCAGCATTCAAAACGTTGTGATATTTCAGTTTTGCCGTATAAATATTAATAAGACTATAAACATTCAGCGTTGAAAGTTGTGATATCTAAGTTCCAGCAAACAAGCATTACACAGTGAAAGACCAAGTGCTTCTTTGTTTTCCATTGTTTTATACGTCTACTTTGTTTTGAAAGTTACTAACAAGGAAACATGTAGCATTATTGATTTATATGGAACTATACCGTAACATAGACCTGAGTGCTACACTCCTACTATGCGATTCTACATACACCTGGAGGGTTTCATTTGAGGTAAATTTTTAAACTGTGTTTTCAAGTCCATTCACCTTTTCTATATTTCTTTATTACAC